TTTTAGCTTAATACAGTGTAAAAAGAAATTTAAATTTGGATTACAAAGAGATTAGAAACCAAAACACTTCTAATGTTGAAAAGGCTACAAGAGATACTGACAAAACAACCACAGACCAGAGTCTCGTGGTTTTCAACCTCTTCCACGCTGGTAAGGACACACAGGATTTCCATCCCACACTAACTGGGATTTAGCTGGAACTCCCCTCCTGCCAAGTAGCAACTATATGGCTCAACTATCAATTCTAGAAACAGAGTTTTCTTCCAGGATTGAAGATTAAGATGAAATTTTACTGTACTAGAAGAAGAGCATAAACATTTGCCCCTACTCTCATGTCTGCTTAACTGTTGCACCAAATCAAGGCCTGAGGCATTTTGAAGGAAAGGTTAGATCTGCTCTGTTTTGCCATTAGGGAATTTCTCCTCCTACTGAAATTTGACTGTATAATCTGAATCATCCTGGTTATTTCCACCATGGCTTCTCAACATGAAGTAGCAAGAATGGAGCCAGAGGCTTGAGACTAGGAGAATGTCAGTATATTCAGTTCTAGGGTGTGGAGAGAAGTGCATCATGGCTAGGCTAGGAGAGGAAGTAAGATGTGACACATGGCTACTTGACATCTTTCCCTCAGCTTTGAATCCTAAGGACAAACATGGTTATTCGTCAAATTTTCACACAGAATGCAAACTTGCAACAGTGACTGATAACCCATTTCTTACTGCTTTCTGAAAAACTAGAAGATTATCTATCTAGCTTTATCACATTAATGAGACATCAAGAGTCACTCCGCATACCATTAATGTACTGTTTTAATTTTCAAAGACTGAGCCATAAACACTCCCCGCAAGACCCTGAACTCTGAGTACTGTGAAATCTGTAATTCATTACTTTGTCCTTGAGAAACTATATTAAACCCTTTAATTGATAAGGGTAGTTCATTTATTTCCTTCATGAATAAAGGCAGTCAGGAAGCTTGTGTTAATAGAGAGATGAAAAAATAATACTGCCTTAAACAAAGGTTCAATGGTGCTGAGTTCAGGCACTGTAAAGCTGTATCCATGTTTTTATGGATAAAGGTACAGGAGACCCTCACCATTCATGGGGGATACATTCTCATATCCCCCATGAATGGCAAAATCCATGAATAAGGCACTGCATTTATGAACCCCATCTGCATTCATAAATGCAATGCCTCTGGTGGGGGGGCACGGCTGTGCCGATAATGGTGGAAGTGTGGCAGTGGCAGCAGGAGCACGGTGGCAGTGGCAGGAACAAGGTGGCAGCAGCAGGAGCCCGGCAGTGGCAGGTGTGGAGCTCCTGAGGAGCTCCTTTAAGTGTATTTAAAATGCAGGTTTGGCATTCACGAATATTTGAAACCATGAATGCCGAACCCATGAATAGAGAGGGTTTCCTGTACTGACTTTCTACTTTACATAGGATGCCCTGATAAATGTTTTAAATTCCAGATGGATGCCTATACATGAGCCATTTCTCTCCACCTCTCACAGCTCCTAAAACAGTGTTACGGTCTTAAAAAATCCTCTGAGTCTGACTCATAACCTTTAGTTTGGATCAGTATACTTAATGAAACATTTTATAATTTATACCCTTGAATGAATGCTCACTCTGAGGGAAGAATTCATCATGAATATTTTATTCAAAATTCTTCCTTTCTGTTGTGGATGGTCTGCAAACAGCTTATGATTTTATCAGATCTACTTCCATTATTTGAAATTATTCAGCAAACAGTTCTTGACCTGGACAATGTTCTTGACCTGTAAAATGTTCATTAGCGGTTCATTTTGAATGTTAAATATTCAGATTGTTTTGACTGAACTCACAGATCAGATGGTAGCTTTTTCACACAAATATCTTTGCAAATGCAAAATTCACCTGTGCCTCTCCAACAATGTTCATTTCTGCACAGGGCGTGCCTACACATGCATTTACTCTGGCTTAAATTTACTGTCAAGTAAGTTACTGAGCAGTAAGTGGGAATAGGCCAGTGTCTATATGTGCAGGCAACCCAGGACTAAATTTAGTCCCAGGTCAGAGTAGCCTACCATGTGCCTGTGGCCACCAGGGGGGAGCTCCAGCCTCTGGCCACATGGGTGCCAGCATTTGGGACTAGCTTTAGTCCCAAGTTGAAGCCAGGAGAGGCAGCCAGCCAGGAGCCCTGGAACTGGGCTCAAGCTGGCCCCTAGTGCCTAGATAGACCCAGCAGGGAGGCCCTGTATTACTGTGCAGTACCTAATTGGGCATAAATTTGATACCTGCATCATGCAGGTATCGAATTTATGCTCAAGTTGGCATAAATTGCCATATTTACTGCACAGTATGGGTGTGCACAGTAATTTTGGTTACTGTGCAGTAAATTCACAAGTCTAGACATGCCCAGAGTACTATCAACAAATTTAACAACCAGACAAAGAGACATCATCGCATGTTCAAACAATCATAATACTATGCCATAATAAAAATACCAGAAAGAGTACTGTACGCAAAGCAAAATACACTGAATACCTGAGGAAAATAACAAAGCTTATCCAGCCAAAAGCTGTTCCAGTTAAGTTCATTTGGAAGGAAATTTGGACCTTTGCCTCATTTACATGAAGAATCTTAGGTCTTGAAATCATTATTACTTAGCTATGATTACTTAATTGGAGAACCACCAGTTCTTCCACTCGAGTGATTTCAGTGAGACTGTTCCCAGAGAATGGTTCTAATTAGGGTGAGGGAATTAGTAGAATTGGGCTCTACTGCTTTGCTGATCACATGAGAATCAAAAGAAAAAGAATATTCTTTTCCTTCAAAAAAGTCTTTGAACAAGAGCTATGGATAAGGAATAGGTATATCAATTGGTAACTATGGGGGGAAAGGTATCTTAGGCTGCTCAATACTCCAGCTTGAGTAACTGGTCACCCTTCAATTCTTAGCTGTTATTTCATTTTTAAGAACCACATGCCTCATATGTGTCCTAAGTGAAGCTCCACTGTTTGAAATCCCAGTTCTCTCTCTTTCATGGTAATATTTATAACCAAGTTCTAAGTATCCTGTAGTTTGAGAACAGAACCTGGTATTTAGCTTATGCTTTATCTGTTTAACCTACCCTGAGGAAAGGTATTTTGTACCTGAAAGCTTGTCTTATGTCTCCCCCAACTATATAGATGGTCCAGTAAAAGATACTGCAAAACAAATCTTGCTTCTTGCCTATTACCTGAACTATCACATCTATAACAACACTATAATATCACTCCAACATGAAAGATATTAAAATTCATCAGGTAGAATGGAAAATTCACAACATGAAGGGAAAAAAGAAGTCAGCCTAAATAGTAGCATCTATTTCCTAAGCTTACATAGTGGAGTTAAACTTAAGTCATTGTTTAATTCAGGTTGTATTTGTTGCTTTCCTGTACCTAAGGAAGGGCATTTTGTCCCTAAAAGCTTGTCTAGCATCTCTCCCAATTATACGGTTGGTCTAATAAAAACATATATATTTCCAAATAAATCTTTCCCCCTTCTGTCAGCAATGAAAGGAAAGGAAGGAAAGAAATGCTGCTCATAATTCCATTGGCTAACCAGGCAATTTAGCTGGAGTTATGGCTTGAGGGGGGGAAAAAGGAGGATTCTCAAAATGAGCAGTTGTGAAAATGATATGCCGAGAAAAGCACTAGTGCTTTCTGACCTTTTGAAAATGACAGTGTCATGCTGATCCAGGTTGTACAGTTTTTCCATTTGCTATAGTAAGGGCACAAACAGCCATCTTGCCTGGTACCAAGAAAACTATTAAATAATACATCTTTTTGTGTAACTGCCTAAAACACCATACATCATGCCACATATATTTGTCTGTCAATGATACAGTGTCACATAAATGATCCCATCAGATCTAAACTAATGGAGATGTCAGTCTGCTTCATAACACATTTGGATTGTTGGTTTCTACAGGACTTCAGGACGCTCCACCTTTTTCCCCCCTGATATTCTAAATTGGATCAGAAAGATACTGTTCATCCACAACTTTTTCAGAAAATAGCCAAAATTAAGAACAAATTTGTAATTAACAACAAGAATGTAATTGAGCTTACTAAAATGAAAAATTCAGATCTGCAAAGGATCTGAAATTAATAGAGGAAGGTGTTTGGAAAAGAAGCATGAGCATGAAAACACCATTTTTAACAGATGGCTAATTGGAATATATAGTTTTCAATCCTTATATAAAAAGAGCCATGTTTGCATTAGATAATGTCTTATCTAAAGAACAATTACAGGATAATGTTCTTAAAGATTAATTTTCTCAATTGTAACTCATGCTTGTTTGTGGCAGTATATAGCAAATTCTAACCTAGGCATCTGGTATTTAAATTATATTGTTCTTTTGAATTGATTTCACTAACATGCTAGTGACCTTTATATAAATTGGTTATTCATTTATAAGTACGTTTAGGTCACTCAGAGCTTAGCACAGTAGAGTATATATCAAATCAATTGAAAATTCAAAATGTCAAGGGCTTGAGTTCATTTTCTGTTAAGAGAAAGCTTCTGGTTATTCTGGACCAAGCATGCAGATACATCTCCACTTTGTTTTTCTGAGACCTTCTATTACTAAGAATGCCTCTAGCATATCAAATGCCAACTATGTTTTAAATGTTTTTGCCTATGGCAGAGTTCAAGATATTCATGATATATTATAGGAATAGGAAAGCATTTTTTCTTATGATTTAGAAATCTAGATTTCTACCTTGTATTAACTTGTATGAAGAAGAATGCATTGAGACCTACAAACAAAATGAGATTGTTTACTTTGTCATTCACTGCAACTGTACTACTTTTTCCAAATTTCACCAAAAAAAGCTCTTTAGATACTTTACAGTTCATTAGCTACTAAATGGGTATACTCAGAAAAAACACAGCAAGGGCTTTATAAGTAAAGTAATTCTCCAAACTGGATTGCAATGGCCAAGTGAAATAAAGGAAAGCAAATAAAGCTGTCATACCGGTGAACTCCACTGTTGCACATTATGATGTGGCAAGCTCCAAGTCTGCTACAAAGTTCTGAAGAAACCGAGAGCAATCCAACTCCAGAGGCACTGCAAGCAGTGTAAGCACAAGCAGCTGTGCGCTTGGATCTGATAAATGACCCTACCAGCCGGTAAAGTTCATCCAAAGAATTGAGGGGCCGCATTAACTAGAAGCAAGAGAGAACAGACATGATTCAACATTTGCCATCAAAAGGCATATGAACTTCCTCAAGATGGTGACAGCTAAATGGTCTAAAGTGAAAAGACAAGTGCAAACATGGACATAAACACAGGGGTGCCAGGACTGGCAAATGGACTCTGAGAAAATCAGCTTATAGTTCAAATAGAACTATTATTTGTTTATGCGAATGGCCATTCACTATTCCTGATTGAAGCCTGAGAAGGACCAATTAGAGAAATGAGAGAGAAGAAGCCACAAGACAATGAGCCTCACAAGGAAAACTGAAAATGGCAGTTTAACTTTCTACAAAATTGAAAGTATATACGTATTTCGTTTAGAAAGAACAGTCTTCAGGATATGGCTAGAAGCTAAAAACAGTGCCTATCTCACAATGCTTTTTGAACAAGTGAAATGAATTCCAAGTCACAGCTCTGCAGATTTCCAAGTCACAATCTGCCCAAGAGATACCTACAGATTCCAGCAGAAGGAATCCTGCATCCCAACGAAGCAATTTTTAAAATCTAGAAAAGCATCCCCTCCTGGCTATTTGAATTCCTTGGGGAAATGGTACTACTGCTTATGTCTATATTTATTTATGTTTTAAAAGTGTACTAGTTTAACAGAATCAATTTAAAAATCAATCTAGTTAAACCAATGCAAACCCCTTACTGTAGGGAGTTATAACCCTAAGGTTAAGCTGGTTTAAACTTTACTATATCAACTTAGCTTGCATTGGTTTAGATCAATGTTTAAATTGGTTTAAATCAGTAAACTTGGTGCAATTTTTCTAATTCAGATAAGGCCTTAGGGTGCCTGAACACAAACGTGGAGGCTGCTCCAACACACTGTAATTACAGCGCGTAGGAGCAGACTTGATTATTCAGCTCTGCTGCAGCATGGCAATTCCTGTGCTCCAGCAACCTCCTGCATCTCAGGTATCAGCGTCCCTACACTTAAAAATGGTGGCATGGGCACCTGAAATAAAGTTTGTCAAACGAGCTTTAGTTCAAGCACCCCCACCACCTTTTTTAAGTGTGGGGATGCTGATACATGAGACACTGAGGCTCTTTAATTAGAGCAGCTCTCAGAGTCGCTCTAATTAAAGCAATGCCCGCCCTCCCAAGCACATGTAAAAATTCCCTTAGAGACTTTTCATAAAAAACTTCTGTGCTGTAAAATGGTATGGTCTCCAAAAGTTGTAGGAATACTTCATGCCCTTCTGACCATCCAGGAATAAAGGTTTAAAGAAAAGGGAATTTTTTTTCTTAATACTGAAAGGAGAAACCACTTCAGGGTCAGTGAGGAGCTTCTAATGGTGACCCTGTGAGGAATTCTTTTTCAGAGAACAGCATATATGTAGTTCATTCTCCTGAGCAGACACTACTCTCTGCAAGCATGCCAGATACTGCCAATTGCCCAAAGGGGCAAGGAACAAGCAAAGCCCCATTTAACCCTCTGTAGTCAGAGAAATTGTTTCACTTCACATGTGAGCATATGTCACATCCCACAAAGCACAATGCCTCCTAGTGGGGCACGCTATCCTGAAGCAGGGCTGGGAAACAGCCATAGGGTCCTGAAAAAAAGAGAGCTCAAATTTAAAGGGGATTAAGAATAATGGAGTATATAACATACAGAGCTTAATTAGACAGTTCACTTTTTGATTACCTTGTCTACATAAGCAGCTTTAGATGTTGAATTTGGAGGCAGATTTGACTTGTCCAGGTAAAATGCCCTGAGAGAATAAACATACAAACAAGCCTGTTAATTGTTTAAAAGCCTTTATGAAAGTATACACAAAAAATAAAAGTCCTTTGATGTATGTTTTATTTTAAACTTCGTGACAAGAGACAAACTAAGACATACAGAAGAGCAGAGGTTCACTTATCCTCTTCCTTTTAAAGAAATTAGGAAAACGTTTTCTTCCTGCTTTTGCAGGAAAGCTACAGTACAATAGATTATTAAATCATGTCCATCTGCTGGCTGGTAGACTGTGCATCAGGACTCCTCCCGAATATATTGCTGTCACATTACTAGGAAAACTGAACGTGAAGGAGGTTTTCACCAAAATCTTCTGCAAAAGAAGTACAAGAGAGGCTTCATAACAGTTTGGATTTTAAATGGTTAAGAATGTGAATTTTTGCGTATGATACTTATGCATTACATGCTTGTATATTAGAACATGGTTACTACAATAATGTTAGAACAGCATCCCAAATATGATAGGCATAGCACAGATATACAATAACCCAGTCATTGCCCTGAAAAGCTCATGATACAAGCAGAAATAAAAAATAAGATAAGTAGGTAGAAGGGGAATGACTGAAACTAGCAATACATGTGCCAGTGTATGTGGATGTGCACATGTATGTGTAAACAAAAAAACAAGGTAATCCTAACCTCTTTAAAAATGCTTCTGTGTATAGAGAAGGAGCTAAATGCAAATAATGCTCATTACATAAAAGCAAAATATGATGCAAGAGAGATGCTAAATGGCAGTAAGGCTTGTAAACATGATGTATACTGGGCACTGACACCTCTTTTTTTTCTGTCTTCTCTCATTTAATTATTCATGTTGCATAAAAAGTGTCCGTAGAACACAAAAAAGTGCAGTGTGTGTTTTTCAAAGGACAGAGGCTGGCTGTTGTTCTATATCGGGGCGGGCAATTATTTCGGACGGAGGGCCGCTTACCCAGTTTTGGGAAGATGTTGAGGGCCACATGGGTAGCCCCACCCCTTGACAGTTGCCCCATCCCTTGGTCACCACCTTGGGACCAATGTACCAATGTCTTGGGACCAATGTTCCAGGGCCAACGCCGGCAGGGCCCAGGGTGGGACGCAGGCTGGCAGGGGTCTGTGGAGCCGGGCTGAGCTGCACCAACAGCGAGAGGGGAAAGCTGGACCAGCTCCATAGAGCCCCTACTGGCCAGGATCCTGTACCCCTGCCACCCTGCTCTGGGCCCTGCCAGCACTGGCCCCAGGACACCAGTGTGCGCCCCACGCTCCTGCTGGCTACTGCACCTGTTCACTCCCAGTGCTCCCCTCAGCCCCGTGGTACAGGTGCGGGACAGTGTTCAACCCTGACTCCATGCTCACTGGCAGGGAATGAGTTGGTGCTGAGCACAGGGGAAAAGCGGCCCCTGCCTGCCCCATGGCCAGCGCCCTACGCTGCAGCTACTCGTAGCCCGTGCGGAACTGTCCTGAGCAGGCACAGGCAGACCCATACAGGCTGCGAGTGGCTGCAGTGCAGGACGCTG